TGCAAATTTCCTAAGCACGCAAATCATGATTACCGATACACATTGTACAATTTCGGAAAGTGACCTGTAACGGGATGCTGTGGTGGCAATTTATCACTGCTGCTGCGTCTGCAGTAGTTTCGGCAGCGGAAGTTTGGCGATCTTGTTGTAAAATCCGTCTTTCTCGCAGCTCTGTGGGTCGACCACGTTGATGCTGGGAATGTGAACACGCCCAAAGCTGAAGTCACGGTTGCGCTGCATAATCACAGAGTGAGGAAGCAATACGTTAAATGCATAGCGGTAGCACGTTCAAATACCACTTCCCTTGTCAATAAAAATGCCCGGCCTGCATGGAACATGAAACACGTGCAGAGCAAAAGCTATAGAGTAACCCCTCTAGATCCCGTTTGAAAAGTTTCTTGGGGCCAACCAGTACAAGTAAAATATCAAGGTACCCGTTACACTGTAATCACAATAGCTCAATGGTAGTGGGAAAGTACCCACTATGCCATTATTCATAATTTCGTGTAAAAGCAAGGTACGCGCTACGCATCTGAAGGGCATTATGTGCATTCTGCATGCTATGGCTGATGACAAGTTATGGCGGGCATTTCTTAACTGGGGCAAAGCGTTAACACACCCACTCAAAAACAAAGCAATAAGAGGGAGAAGATGGAAGCTTGCGATGTAAAATCTGCAAATGGGGGTTGTGTTGAAGCGTTGCTTCAAAACACCCACTCGTTGAAAAACTCACATTGTGTGATGCCCGGTGCTATTTGGCTTTGCACCATGTTACGCTGTACCTACCAACACGACTCCTTGCTCGACACGTTGCCTGTATAGGGTCTTTTCGAGAACCAAGAATTGACGTGGCTTTGTGGTAGAATATTCGACCATCACATAAACCCACGCAAAAGGCCTGGGTTCATATCATGCTACACTGAGAACACAGTGATTTTTTACAGACATTTGCGCCAATGTCACACGTCCCGTTAGTTAGGGAGGCGATCACCGGGCTAATTTAAAGGGCCGAAGTATCGGCTCCTGAAAGCGGGGACAATTTAGAAGTAGTCCTATTTGGCGCGCCAGCGGACTGAGGTGCAAAGAACGAGTCAGAGCAGAGAGTTGATAAACAAAGCAAAATTATATTTTCAAATATGGCAGATCAAACGATACACAAATATGTACACTCGACGATACTTTAATACGATATGTCACAAATCAAACAACGTACTACACAGTGCAATCAAGTACACTCGAAACAACGGACACAGACAACAATACGCGCTACAATGCAATCACCTGCATCGAACAACCAAGACACTTAAAGACTAAGAGTTCAAAAACTTATTCAGTCCAAGATTCTTGGAACAAAGTGTGAATGATACTCTTCCAAGTATCACTCACACTTTCCAGTATCACTCACACTCACAAGTCCAGCGCTGTTGTCGTTCCGCTGCCTCCGAAGTGCCTCTTCCAGGAAACCTCGCGTCTTCAAGTGGCCGTGCTCCAAGCACCAAACTTCGCCGGTGACACGTCGGCTGCCCACGCGTTGCAATTGCAGGGCGCGTCTTCGCTCCCTGGCAGTAGTCTCACACTATTCTTCTGCTGGTAGCCCCAGCCTTCACCCTTAAGGTGGAAACTCTCTTCATTAACGGCTTTTTCACTAAGGACAAAACCTTCGCCGATATGATATGGCGGAAAGACCTACGCACACTTGCGCAAAACTTACAATTCCTGCCTACGCACACGGGCGCAAACTTTCTTCTCCTGATCTCCCATCTCTGCTGCTCGGTTAAATACCTTCCGCGCTAGATTTCAGAAACTTCTCATCGTTTCGTCGGCGCGATGCACAGCCAAGGCTGGGGAAAGAGCGAGACGTTTCGAGGGCCGTCCGCGACACGTGACACAACTCTGCATCACTACGCCCTTTTCCTTCGAGAACCTTCCAGGGCTTGCTCGGCCGGTGATGTGAGGAGGTTGGTCGGAGAAACTATGCCTCTGAGGGGGGAGAAAGGGCGCGCCCGGAGAGTTTTTGGATGCTTGTTTTCTTCTTTATTGTTGGCCTTGAGGCTTCTCTCTGGCGCTGGAGTTCAGCGGCGCGCCCTTCTTTTGAGCGCTCGTTTGTGACAGCCAACCAATGTGCCTTGCTGTTCGGAGAATGCACTTGGTAGGCAAACTTGACAGACGTGCGTGCCCCTTTTGGTTATGCTGCAGTAACATCAAAGTTCTGTAATCAAAGAACCTCTGCAAGTGAAGTATCAAATTAAGGTGTGTGGTTCTCAATCTGAATGTGTTAAACAGTAATAATTGCCAGAAATTTATGACAGTAATTCGATAGAGAGCTGTTGCTGGAAGTCAAAGATAACTTCTACAAAAAATCATTTCCGAAGGTCCACCGCATAATAAAATGTGGAGGTGGCCTTCTCAGCCAGTTTGCAATAGTTTTGGTTTAGCTTGTATAGATGTATCACACACGAGACTACATCTAGTATCACTAATCTCTCCAACAGTGTCATGGTCACGCACGCGTGTGTGCTCACCTGCGCTGCCAAAAACACGCACCACTTGAAATTTTCTTGCAACCGCCACTGAATTGAGGGAGGACGAGCTTACAGTCCTAGGATGAACGCTCCTTAGCTTCAAAATTTCATGGCGATGATGTTTTGCGTCAGCCTGAGACATCCACAGCCTATTGTAGGTTTGTTATGATTACGGCCTCAAGTCCTCTCCGCCACCACAATTGTGCAGCTGCTGACCTTTGTGCAAAATCTTATAGTGCCTCAGCGAGGTTCACACTTCGCCGAGGCGCAGTGTGCTGATGCGAGCTGCAGAGCTTCTTCTCATCGCAACAAGCAGGCCCCTGGAGCACATCTTGACCTTGACTACGGAGCAACGGAAAAGGTTTCAGAACTGCACACCGTATTGTTCTTTTTTCTTCATATGATGTGCAAATATGCAAAGAAATATGCTTTGCTGCATATATTGGAACGCCAACCTATGCGGAGTGAGGTGGCTCATGGAAAAAGGTGAGGCTAGGTGAAATAGCCAAGTTCATTGGATATCTGAATTATGAAGGAATCATTTACATTACTGGCATACATCTATATTAGAACCCCTGCAGGTTCTCGTCACAAAAATGAAACTAAAACTTACCGAGAAAAGTGTACGAGTTGACTTGTGTCTACGAAAAACGAAGCAATGATTCACCGCATGGCATGAGCAATGAAGCGGCACCTCGGTTTCGATTTTCTTTGTGTGAATAGAAACATTTCATGCAATATTTATTGGTTTTATTACTGTTCTTGGGTCATTTACGCTCAAAATGTATATTCTGATATTTTTGCATATAGTATAGTTTTTTTATAGCACTGTTCTCCAGCTGGCCACCAAACATTACACAATTTTCATATTTCTTCATTCCAATATATTTCTGTTTCTCCACAATGCTTATTTGTTGAAAAGAGCATTTGAATGAGCGAAATTTGGTATGCTGCAATGTGGGCTGGAGTACTTTTCAAACTGGCAAGAACAATATGCCTGAATCATATGAAAAAAAAAAACATTTTCACGTGGTAACAAAACAGTTAAGTGCTCTGACCTTCATGATTGTGCGGGCGTCAAAGGAGTTGCGGGGTTTTCGTGTGGGTGGCACAGTCGTGTCTTCAATGGCAAAGCGCTTTTCACGAAGTCGGGTGTTCATGATGGTCATGTGCAGCTTGACGTGCTCGGGTCCGTGACCTCGTTCCTGCTGACGCAGCATGAACCCGGAGTCCAAGAAGCGCTGGGCCACGGCATCTGCAAGCTGCTGCAGCCTGCACCTGCATTCAGTGGCGATACCTAGAATTCTGGGTAGTTGTCACAGGTCCCGTTAATTCGGGAGGCGATCGCCGGGCTAATTCCAAGGGCCGAAGTATCGGCCCCCCGAACCGCACCGCGATAGCGTGGATGATTTAGAAGTGGTCCTTTTTGGCGCGCCAGCGGACGCTGGCTGTGGCCCAAAGAACAAGTCAGAGCCGAGAGTTGATAAACAAAACAAAATTATATTCTCAATAATGACAGATCTAAAACAATGCACAAGTGTGCACACTCCACAGTAGTTGGGTACAATGTGTCACCAATCAAACAACGTACTACACAGTACAATCAGCCACACTCGAAACAGTGGACACAGACAACAATATGCACTACAATGCAGTCGCATGGATTAAACAACCAAGACACTTGAAGACTAAAGAGATAGAAAACCTACTCAGTCCAAAGTTCCTGGAACAAAAATCTGGATGATACTCTTCCGAGAATCACTCACTCAAAGTCCAGCGTTGTTGTCGTTCCGCTGCTCCCGAAGTTTATCTTCCTGGAAACCTCGTGTCGTTCCGCTGCCCCCGAAGTTTCTCTTCCAGGAAACCTCGCGTCTTGACTTGGCCGCTCTCCAAGCTTCAAACTTCTTCACCGGAAACACGTTGGCTTCGCACTCGCAGCTGTTGCCATGCGTCTTCGCTCGATAGCGGTAGACACACACTCTTGCCTGTAGCTCGAGTCGTCACCCCGCAGGTGGAAATCCTCTTCTTCTCCTCCTTTGTCACGGCGGACAAAAGGCTTCGCCCACAAAGCGGTACACCCTACGCACCCTGGCGCATACTTTCTTCTTCTCCTGCTTTGTCACTAAGGACAAAACCTTCACGGACAGAGACGTTAAACCCCACATATCAATCAATCATTCACCGACAGACGCGGCGGGATACCCCATGCACTTTGGCGTTAACTTCCTTCTTCTCCTGATCACCCATCTCCGCTGCTCGGTTAAATACCTTCCGCGCGAGATTCCAGAAAGTTCTCATCACTTCGTCGGCGCGATACGCAGCGAAGGCTGGGAAGAGGGCGAGACGGTTCGAAGGCCGTCCGCGACGGATGA